ACAAAAATATGTAAATCATGAAAGGATTAAATACAAAGAAAGTTGATACTTGGTCAAGAAGTAGGAGGCGTTAAAGGCAAAATAAATTAATTAAATATTAAATTTACTTATTTATATAAGCTTAGTGAAGCTATTTAACATTTTTAATGTTTATTAACTTAATAAAATATAAGCTAGTTGTTGACAAGAGAGTTGAATTTTCATAAGTGGCTATAGCTAGTCAGAATTAAGTCATTTTCCGTGAAGTGTATGTGATGTATAGAAATACAGTACATCTCAACATGATGAGGGCTCCACAAACAAAGAAAATGAGGAAAGCTTGTTGGAAAGACAACTAGAAATTTCTGTTTCAAAAGTGACCTTATGGCCTTACATCCTCACCCAAGCCATATACCTGTTGTCTTGGGTAAATACTAATATAATCTTTTCTACTCTCAAAAACATCATGGGTGGTATGTAATTATCCAGCCATGTATGTGTGTATGCGTGCGTGTGTATATATATAAAGATTTCAGAATGAAGTTATACTTTATTATAATTACAAAATGGTTAATCCTAGAGTGAAAATGAGATTTTAAAATGCACAGTTAGCGTGCTAAAATTCTAAAGTAATTATGAAACAATCTCTTTCAATTGGCCAAAGCACTAATTACAACTATCTTACCAGTTCCTTAAATAAGTTTAATGAATTATCACTAATATTTTCATGTTATTCTATACTTACCCATTTGAAAGAAACATGATTTACTTTTCAGCATTTTCTTAAATTCCGAAATTAAGTCATTTAGACTATGTTACATTCCAAAGATTTAAAATGCACCAAAAACCTCCTTATGCTTAAATATATACTGTGCTCTGGGCCACAAGAGTAAGAATTGCTCCATGCTCCTGGGCAACTAAAGGGCTTTGAGCCTAGTTCAAGTCTCTGTTCTGCCACACATTAATTTTATAAAGCTGGCAAATTATTTAATGTTTTTTGCATCCCACTTCTTCATCTATAAGATGAGGAATTTACATCTGAGGTATGCAATTCATAAGCTGTGAGTTTTTAATGAATTAATTCCTGCTGATCATTTAGAAGAGTACCAAGTACTAATTTTATTATTACTGTTGTCATTATTATTATCACTACTATTATTATTGCAACCCAGGGGACTATCAGAGAGAACAAAGAGTTATATCACAGGAACACACACTCTCCAAAAACTAATAGTGTAAAGACACAATGAAGTATTTTTGAAAAGGACAATGCACCATAAATGCAAACAAAGGTGAACAGAGGAGATGGAAGTCTGGTGTGAGAATGACTTACTAATGCAGTTCTCTGATCTGTAGCTACACATGCTGCTGAAAGTTTAGAATGAAGTCAAAGGAAGGAAGCCTTGTCAGAACCTCAGTGTAATGCTTTCCTCGGTTCAAGAAAAACTTAACGTGATTTCCTAAGGGCAAGTTCATACTCAAACTCAAAATCTCAAAGGAAATATACCACTGGAGTCCACAGTAAATAAGATGCATTTCTTAACTGAAGAATGAACTTTAACATACACTGATCAATAAGAGAGAAATGCAATCAAAATACAATGATAAAGATAAATATAAATACAAGAACAACTGAACATCAAAAATATGAATCAACTAAGAAATACTGGAAAAATAATTACATTTTCCATCCCACTACATAAGTTAAAATGCAATGTGTCAGCAATACTCTAAATTCAATCACAAGAGAACATGATATATTTATTACTCAGTGCACATGCTATTGGAAACACCCCCAACCTTGAGACTAAATTCCTATGGAAGAAAAGTCATCAAAGTAGGGTCAAGAATTGAAACAGGGCCAGACACCGTGCCTGCAATCCTAGCTACTCAAGAGGCAGAGACAGACAGGATGGTGGGTTGAGGCCAGCCTAGGAAAAATGTTCACAATAACCTATTTCAATCAATGTCTGGGCATGGTAACATGCACCTGTCATCCTAAGTATGTGAGGAAGCATAAATAAGAGAGTCCTGGTCCAGGCCAGCTCAGGGATAAAAGTGAGATCCTATCTTAAATATAACCAAAGCAAAAAGGTCTGGCAGTGTGGCTCAAGAGGTAGAACACCTGCTTAGCAAGCATGAAGCCCCCAAGTTCTGCCACTACTGCAAAATTTTTTTTAAAGAACTAAAATAGGTCTTACTTGATAAGATTATTTAAAAGAGTGGAAATAAAACAAGTGTCAAAGGTTTCTCTAAGATGGCTGTAAGATTCACATGTGAATGTAATACAGGCTTTGCATATAACTGACAGCACAGTTAGTTACAATGAACAATAGTTGTGAGAACTGATGCACTACTGTGAACTTAAGAGACAAGACTAAGTGTATTTAGTGCTTACTTTAGAAAGTAAGCATAAAATATTACTTGCTAAACAAATGAATAAAAGATGTTAACAAAAATTTTTAAATTAACTGTGTACTTTAAGAAATGTAAAAACTGAAATTATCATGAATTTGTAGAAACCATAGAAAATTATAAGGGAAAGCATTAGTGTGACAGATTCTGGAAAGGTTAAAGAGACACACTGTCTCATTAGCAAGTTCAGAACTTTTCTAACAAAAAATCTTTCATTGATCTTTCTTTTATATTTACTTTAATCTGACCCAGGCAATTAAATATCTTCATTCTTATGCAGCAGACTTATGAAATCTCTTCAAACAGAACTTGGATCCTTGTATTTTAAAAATTAAATGTGCCACAAATATGTTACCATGTGTCACAAACATATTATCATAAATATGTATCATATTTTATGGCTGTATCATGGTATATACTACTGTTATCATTTCATAGGATTTAAGGTACTTAAAATCACTATAACTTTTTCCCTCTACAAATTATTTCCATATATTTTTTGCATATGTTATCATTACCATTTTAAACTTAACAGTTTCATTCAAAAAGGGGGGAAAGTCATAGGATCTTCTCCCCCCCAAAAAACGTTCTCATGTGAACACAAAATTTTGATTAATGAATAAAACGGATAAAAGGCTCAAGATTAGGATTATCTTTTAATAGGGACTAAGGTATACTGTTACATTTCAACCTTCAGATTTTAGAATGCACTTTGGAAAATCTATTCATTTGTGTTGTTTATTAAATTCACTGAGACTACTGATCTAAGTATTTAAGTGTCACAAATGAAAAAGAAAAAAAATCATCAAAATATCATAGTCTCCAAAGTTTTCATTTATATTGTTCTCTAGTAGGGACTCATTGTTAAATTAAAATGGCAATTATCAATTATAGGCAACATTTAATTGTATTGTGAATAATGAGTATTTTAGGTCAAATTTTACCAGAAATATTTTACCCCTTCATAAACTGAACATGAAAAGTATTCTGTTTCACTTCTTAGCCTTCTTCATGGGCTTAAACCTGCCAAATTATTCCATTTGATTTCAAATAATTCTTATATGGCAATCTATTTTATTTACTTTATCTTCAATAAAATGGTTCAGTGAACCATTAGCAACTCTGAGACACAAGTTTCAATCAGTCTTCAGGCAACAGTGTCAATCTATATTAGACCTACTGTGCTGTGAGTTTCAGGTAGGTAAGACAGAGCCACAGTGAAAATGTGAGCTAGAGCTAATAAAGCCACAGAGAAGAGAGAGCTCTCCCCAGGCGCTCACACACATTGCTTATATAATACAAGGTACCAGGTTCAACACATGAAGAGCTCCTTAATAAGGCTGACAGCTGAAAGCAGGCTTCAGAATCTAACTTTACTTTCTATGACACCTACAGTAATAGTCCTCTGTTCTCCAGCAGACAATAGTTAAAAACTTGAATTGCCAACAGTTAAAAAAATGAGGCTTCATATTCACCCTTTGGATAGCCTATCATATAAGAGGGAAAAAGAAACTAAAACACCTGGCTGCATGGCATATCTTCTATAGCATTTTCATACAATTTCTGATGTAACAGTAATTTCAACGGACTTTTCCTTACAAATTTGTATGGCATTTTAAATATAGCTTCTGGTTCAGATTTTAACCACAAAATAATCAATAAGTTTGAGCAACAACTCATTTTGGAAAATGATATCATTAAAGACTAATTCCAAGAAATGTGGGGTAGAACTGTTAGATGCTGTGAAAATGTCTCCCAAAGCACAAACTTTGTAATAAGTGATGCTGGTTCATATTTGATACAGGCTGTAAAAAGCAGATTATTGTAATGGTGCTCTTTCCAGCAAATAAGACCATTAAAAAGGTACTTAATGTTCAGCTGAATTGAAAAGCAGGCCATATTTTGCTATTTTGTATAACTAGTGGATAGTTTCAGGCCACAAATTTAAAATTATAAATGTAAACTATTTTTATAGAGCAAGTTTCCATTTTCTTTCTCTTTTTTCATATAATGCAGTATTTTGCTGAGATCAAATATATCTACCAAGATCTGCCAAGTAAGCATAACTCTCCAACGTTAATATGGCCCATGAGAAAGATGCTAAAAGTGGCCTGTGTTACAAAAGCAATATTCCAGATAAAGTCTAAACATTTCAAATTTTATTCCCATGGGCCAGGAGCTGGTGGGCTCTTGCCTGTAATCCTAGCTACTCAGGAGGCAGAGATCAGGACGATGGCTGTTCGAAGCCATCCCAGGGAAATAGTTTGTGAGACCCTATCTTAGAAAACCTGTCACAAAAAAATACTAGTGGAGTGGCTCAAGGTGAAGGCCTTGATTTCAAGCACCAGTATCACACACACACACAAAAAAAATTCATTCTCGCTTGGCTCACTATCTTATAGCTGTACATGCTTGGTCTTCCATTACATTTGCCCGAGAGACCATAATTTGGTACATTATTAATTTGTATATTTTCTGCAAAGACAAGAACAGCGCTAATATGTGTGGGAAAAAACAAGAGGTAAGACACTTTAAAATATGTCATCCATTGCAATATTTTAAATTACCCTCAATGTAGATTAGAAAAATAAAAGTTAATAACTCACATAGTTATTGAAGACAGGTCAGGTATCCAAGAGTGGTTTAGCTGGGTGGTTTAGGCTCAGAATCCTCTAAGAAGTTGAAATGGAAAGAGAGAAGGGAAGAGGGGGAGAGACAGAGAGAAAGGCAGAGAAAGACATCAGAGAGAACACCCAAAACAGGTGCCTTAATATCTTGTGTAACCAAATCAGAAACATAACATACTATCAGTATGCCATATTCTATTGGTTACATAGACCAACCATGGTAAATAAAAGAGGGAAATACAATAATGTGAAAATCAAGAGACAAGTAACATCAAGGAGCATCTTAGATGTAACCTTCCACATTCTCCTCTCTGGATCTGAATGATTCATGTTCTTTCCAAATGTAATCAGTTCCCAATGTGTAAGTTCTAGTTAGTTCTTACAAGTAATTGGAGTATGCTGAATGTGTACCTTGGACTACTTAGTCTGTGTAAGAGTGGAAAACTTTCGAAGGATTCCTCTGAGATGTGATCCTCAAGCTAAATACTGGCTAATAGATCACAGTTCTAAATCTAAAAGGTATTTTGTATATGCCAGGGTTATTTCTTAAGATACTATTTTATGCAAGGCTGCAGGTAATAAATAGGTAAGTATTGCACTTCCCTTGATCTCTGCTAGTTGCAGTGGAATAAGAATATGATCCTTTAACATCAGTTTGGAATATGATGTAGGAGAATGTACAGGCAAAGTCTTGGGCTAGCTAAAAAATGGAGAAATGAAACAAGAATGTACTGAAAGAGGAAGAATTTTAAGTGTGGGTTAAAGGACTGGAGACAGGCAAAGAAACACCACTATTTATTAACAAGGATATGGCATAGAATTCAAGGAATACTTGTGAGTTGTGGGCAGAAAAGGTTAGATATTTGAGTGTTGTCTGATTCAAGAGAGTATAATACCAGGCTAAGCTGTATTTAATCTGGTGGATTTAAACAGCTTGAAATAATGGATGAATTTTAGCTACGGGGAACAAATTCTTTGGAGTTATACTGTAATCATAACTATCTGAAAATAAAATTTTATAATTAGTGAAGATATTGCTTTTATATTAAATGTAAATTATAAATATTAAAATAATATACTACCTGAATTTAACTAATTATTTTTATGTGTTTTTTAGAAAAAGTCTCAAAATGTAGCCCAATATAGCCTCAAACTTGCTATGTAACTAAGGCTATCCTTGAACTTGTGATCCTTCTGTCTTAGCCTCTCAAGGGCTGGGATTATATGCTTAAGCCACCATGCCTGGCTAAATTACATAAAATTTAAATTTAGAAGATTCTGGTGGCAGACAGATCCCAGAATGGTGCCTTCATGTTCCTGCACTGAGAATGTGCAGGCCATGACTTATTTCTAACCAATGGAATATGGCAAAGGGAACAGGATGCCAGTCCAGTGAATACCTGAGTACATATGTTGCACATATATGAGCACATTCAAAACTATGATTCTATCTTGCTAGCATGAAGTAGAGACTCTCTTGGTGGCTTTAAAGAGGCAAGCTGCTATGTTGTGAACTGTGTGTAGAGAATAAAGATGGACAGGAACTGTAGGTAGCCTTCAGGAGCTGAAGATGTTGATTCTATAATGGTAATGAACTGAATTCAGCCAAAATTAGTGAGTCTGTAAGAGCGCTCTGAGCGCCACATGAAAATGCAGCCTGGCTGACATTTTGATTACAACCTTTACAGACCCTAAGCTAAGCCATGCTTGGATGCCTGACCAGTGGCAACTGTGAGATAATAACTGTTGTTTTAAACTTCTAAATATGTGGTAACTTGTCACATAGAAATAGAAAACAAATGCACCTACTAACCATAACACAGAGAGCACTTTTACTTAACACAATGAACTGAATATATGTGCAGCTCAAAATTCCTATGTTAAAATCCTAATCCCTGATGGATAATAATAGGAGGTAGGAATTTTGGGAGGAAATTAGGCAATGAAGCAATGAGGTAATTCTCAGTAAAGGGATTAGTGCCCTTCTGAAAGGAACCCCAGAGAATTCTATCCCTCTCTTTCTGCCATGTGAGGACATAAAAATTTTGTAGTATGCAAGCTGGAAGAAGGCCCTCCCCAGAACTGGACCATTATCTTGGAATTCCAGCCTCTATTACAGAAAGAAATAAATTTCTGTTGTTCTTATGCTATCTAGGAGTCTATGGTACTTTGTTAGAGCAATCTTAACTAACCAAGACAGAGAACCAACTCATTATAGCTCTACTTGTAAGACCTATAGTTGGACCAAAGTTTGAATACTATGCAAGATATTTTCTAAGTTGTCTAAATAATTCTAAAATCTTAGAAAGAGAATAATAGGAAATGAAATAATAGCTCTCTGAAATGTTCACTCTGCCCTTTATATGTATTCACATATTAAGTCTTCAAATGAACTCCATAAAATAGATATCATTCTCGACATTTAAGAAATTAAGGGTTAGCTTGCTTATATGACTTGTAAAAGGTTTCAAATATGATAGGTATGTCTTAGAACCATTTTGAAAACCCAAGCAGTCTGATTTGCAACCGTGCATTTTTCACAGCTACACTGTATGGCCTCTCATTTTCAGTCTTGCTCACTCTTTGTCTTTTTGCCAAGGAACACCAGTACACTGTGTATCTAAGTTACTGACCCGCCTCTTTCAACCAAACCAGCTTCCTGCACAGTCCATTTAACTTTCAATAATTTGAAGAACAGAGCAAATATTCTTTCGTGTATGATGTCTAAATCTTTAATGAATGCATTTGAAATTTATACCAATGTTTTATATATATGAATGAAATTTTATATATACTTGATTGAAATAACTGAAACTGATGTTTTGTTTGGACTTCACACTTATGCAGTGGAAACTCTGAAAATAACTGAATATATTTAAGCAAAACATAGACATACACACATACATACACTAACCCAATGACTCACTTATCCAGATACACAAATGCTTTTAGTTGTAAATTTTATAAAGCAACATTTTATTTCCTATTTTAGGAAAATTGCCTACAACATGTTATTTAACTTCCTTTAAAGATACAGCTGTCTTTATTTTGCTGTTTGAAATTTGAGGTACAAAAATTTAAATAAATTAACCAAGGTTAATAAGAACGCTAATAAATGGTTGCAAGGATGCAAACCTCTGTCAGACCGACTCCAAAATCTACCTTTCCATCATTGTGTTCTTTTCATAATACTTCCAGCTCAAGGTTCATAATTCTATAAATATCCAAGAACAAATGCTTTCTCAGAATGCAGTTTCCCATTAAGATGAACCTTTGACATTATTTATATGCATTATTTACACCAATATGTGGTTACTGTTCATTTAAAAATGTAAAAAAAAAAAAAAAACAAAAAAACCCTGTAACTATGAGCACATAACTAGCAAAACTCTAATTATCAGGTTCTAGAGAACTAGCTTCAAATGCAATTAAGTTTCCTTCTGGGAAGAAGATTCCCTATCTTTTAAAAATAGTTTCTTCCATGTTTCCATGATATCAATTGTCAGGTAATTCCCACTTATTATAAATCAAAATTCCCTCTGCTTTTATACAATTAAATATCCTGTTACTCAAAAAATTAAAACCTAAACATCAAAAGGTGTTATAAAGATGGGAGTATTTTAACATAATCATTTTCTATACTAAGCACTTAAAATCTCCCTCCTAAAAAAGGCTGGAGTATCGGAAAATGTAGGTTGTAGAACACCTTACTGTTTATTATTAACAATAATTTTATTATAACAAAATTGTAAGTGACATTACTTTTTTCAAATCATTTTAATTCTTTTTCTTATTGTTTCTCCACTTAACAAAAAATAGTGTCAGCCTGACTTTCAAAATACAATTAAAGAGAAAAATGAAGTCAGTTACCAAAGTGCTTTAAAAATCTTAAATGCTAAATAAATGTGAAGTAATTTTATTTGTGTATTTGGTAAAATGATAAAGTTGGTAAAATAACAACAAAAAAGTCCAAAGTGATAATAGAAGGTAAAATAACTGGGAAATATTTGACAAATATCTTTCATGGTATTTATGGAGCCTCTATCTTTAGAAAGCTTTAAAAATGGGTAAAACCATTTTTAAATGTGACAAAAGTGACGATCCTCAGGCCTATCTTACTACTATGGAGAATCCATTGATAAAAGTCAGAGCATCACAGCTCCCCTTTCTTAGGATACAGATTGGAGAAAAAAAAAAGATGCAAAATTAGGCTGGCAGAGTGGTTCAAGTGGTAGAGCACTTGCTTAGCAAGCAGGTGAGAACCCTGGGTTCAAACAGCAGTACCACCAAAAAAAAAAAAAAAACACAAGAAAAGAAAGCCACAAGCTATTATAACTATTATGAACCTCTGAAATAAAATGTCCCTACCTAAAATTTCTTTTCTGTTCTTTATTTATTATAATTATACTAATATAGACTTGGACTCCTATGACAAATTACCTGAATAATATCACAGTTATCAGTGACAGTGAAAACCAATTTTACATAAACATTAGATATCAAGAATCTAAATACATTGACATTGTAAACATCGAGGAAAACTACAATGAGATTTTATGATGTGCAGAATCAAGAGAGCAAATGCTTTCCAAACAGATGAATTATTGGGTGGCAAAAACTTTATAAAAAAATCAAGCTTCAAAGAAAAAAGCATTACTGGTATTCTTTTCTTCTCACTTACTCAACATTTTAGATTCTTGGAAAACTTCAATATCAATTAAATTTTAAAAAATAATTCTGAAAAGACCAGCTTATAATAAGAAGCCAGCCAAATAGTAACAAAATATCCCAAATTTTTTTCTTGCATAATTATCTCGCCAACATTTCAATAACAAATTAATATTTCACAAACATTTATGCTGTTTCAAAAAATGAGACAAGTGAAATCCAGTTCAATGGGAAAGAAAATACCAAAGAGTGAGATGGGAAGTCCAATAGCACAGCCAGGGAGAAATGTGCCTTTGCAGCCTAGACATGTCTCTATAGTCCAAATGAAACTTTTTAAAATTTTTGGACAAAGGAACTTAGCCAAAATATTGAAGAACAAAGTGACTATTAGAAAAATATAAGTAGACACATTGAGCAAAAGAAAATTATTACCAGAAGAACATTTACCTTTTTCCTTCAGACCTTCAGCACGACTTTGTAGTCAATCTTGCAGTTCAGTCCTACGTAAATTATGTCCCAGCATCACATTAGAGAAGGCCTGTTAGTAGAGACAAATCATTGTCACTGCTTGGAAAATTAGGTTGGACTTTATGTCATAATTAGCACAATGACTTCATAGAATGACATAAAACACATTCATCTTCAAGTATGAAGAATTGTTAATGCACCCATTACTTTTGTGAATCTTCAAATGCACAAGAAAATGCTTTTTATACATTTTAATTTTAAGAACTTTAAATCCGTTATTTAGGAAAAAACAAGAGCCACAGAGACAGCATAAGATTCATTTCTATAAGTTGTAGAGTTCATTTCCTATTCACATGGTTTTGTTGATTCAAATTTTCAGTGACTAAATTTTATAATTTATAGAATAAAATTATTTCAAAGTTCCTAACAGAAAACCTGACTGACTTCAATTACCTCTTCAACACATAATTAAAAAGCTGTATAGTCCTTTCCACGATTAACAAATTGGTAGTCAAAATTTTCTCCTTATGATCACAATGTAAGGGTAATTATTTTAATGCTTATTTGAATTTGTATTTCTCAGGCCATTTCTATGTAACCATTGTCTTTTTCTAGTCTTTTTCTTCTGATGAAAGAAGGAAAAAAAATGAGCTCACACCTTTCTTAGGCTACAGTGCTGAAGGATCAACAGAAGTGCAAGGCTCACTAGAACACAGACAGTAAGTTTTGACTGGATGGAGCCAAAATCTGAGTCCCAGCAACAAGGAGCATTATCTTGGCTAGCAAGGTCTAACATAAGCACTTGAAGGATGAGTCGTCACATGGCATCATTTTTGAGCATTTAGACATGTTACTAATTTATAAAAAGTATTTCCAAATGCTTTTAAAGTAAAGAACTATTTCTTCCAATGAAACCTTTGTGAAGTGAAAGGTCAATTAAAAATGAAGCTACCTGGTTGAATCAAGACCCAAATATGCAGTGCTACCATTGCTCCTTCCCGAGTTGCCTTTGGCACTTCACAAAGCCTTATAATCTGAACATCACAATCAAAAGCATTGATTAAGTTAATCATTCATATGACCTAACATGCCTACCTGTTCTTTATGAACCCAAAGGACCTTGTATAGAACTCTGCAAGAGCACGTATTAGCTTTGCTTTCATTCTTTTGTTTGGATACCTTTACCTGCTACATTCCTTCCATTTCCATTATTCAAAGTTAATGTCAAAAATTACTAATTGAAGAAGGAGTGAAGGTGTACTTCCACAATCCCAGCTATTCAAGAGAAGGAGGCAGGGGAATCAAGAGGTCAAGGCTGGCCAGGCAAAGTTGAGACAATATCTCAAAAACAGAGATTTAAGTGACAGATTGCTTGCCTGTTGCACTACCTGGTGACCACAGTTAATAATGTATTATATATCTCAAAATTTCTAGAACAGATTTTTAATTTTCTCACCACAAAAATGTTGGTAAGTAAACAGATAGGTAATTAGCTTGACTGACTGTAATGAATATATAGATCAAAGCTCCTTATTTTATCCCATAAACATTTCTAATTATTATTTGTCAATTAAAAATAAAATGCAGATAGATATGGTTGGTGGCTCATGCTTATAGTCATAGCTACTTGGGAGACAGATTTCAGGAGAATTATGATTCAAGGCCAGCATGGACAAAAATCTAAGGAGACCCAACGATCTAAGTGTGATGATGTTTACCTGTGGTCCCAGCTAACAGGAAGCTTTAGTTAGAGTAGGATCCTGGGCTGAGGATGACCCCATACACAAGACCCTATATAAAAATTAAATAATGTGAAAATGGGCTGGAGGTACGGCTCAAGTGGTAGAGTACCTGTCTAACAAGTGCAAGGCCCTGAGTTCAAACCCCAGTACCACCAAACAACATCAATAATAATACATTAAATAAATTAAATGTGCATAAAAAACTGATAACAGTGATCACAATGGTTATCATCAAGTGATTAAGTATATTTAAATAACTCTTATTTTAAAAGCCCTTAGGCCATTAAGGGAAAGTAAGATAATTTGGAGGATTTAAAACCTAAGCCAGAGAGGCTAGCAATAGCTCTTCCCTTATTGACTCACATATCAACCACATTTATTCATTGCCAACTGCATGTCTGGTAGTGTGCAGACTGTGGGATAATGCCCCAACCCTGCTCGAGCAGAGTGTACTAAAACAAGGAATATGGGAGATACAATTTCACATGTGCTGAGAGACGTGTGCATCCAACCAAAGCCAAGGCAGTTAAGACAACTTCCTGAATCAAAGGATCTTTATATAGTTCACATGTAGGAGCACTTTCTTATCTAATTTCTTCTAGCTTTTTAAATTGAATTACAAATGTATTTACAGGCAGGGCAATGTCATTCAAACATTCCTAGAGGGCTCAACTCAAACACCTAAATAACTATATTAGGTGTTTCTAATCACAATTACTAGGTGATTAAGTTTTTTTTTTAATTTTTCTAGAGATTCATTGATAGGAAACAGATTCAGTTTTTTAATGTGTTACTTGAAACTCTGTGTTAATATGTTTTTTATTTTCTTGTCTTCTGATTAACAAAATGACACATCCTAAATGAAATACTATCATTTAATTGTTTTCTAAACAAAAGAAAATATGAATCATATAAAGCTTAAAAGTAAAACAAATGTCTTTTAAATTCTATTGCAACACAGCATGATAGGTGTCAAGAGAAGTTCATGATTTGGAAGAACATATTAAAAATTGGAAGTAAATAAATAGAACACATTGCTACAAAGGTCATAATGACTAACTGATGTTCAAAGGTAAAAATTACACTAATATTTTACATATTATTTTTTGATTGCACAATTCAAACCTTTTGGGATGATGATGAGAATTAAGAATTATTTTATTACTTCAAAATAAGCTATTTAACTACAACCAAATAAGAGAAAGTAGATAATTGCTAATTGGTAAAGAAGGTTGGTAACATAACCAGCATTTTAATGAACAGGAAATAAACAACCAAACCTCAGAAAGGCAACAAACGTATAGATTTAATTCTGGTTATTGGGTAACAGTAATTTATGCTATTAGAATAAAACAAACAACCATAGGCTTCTAACGAATATGATAAGCTGTGTGTGTGTGTGTGTGTGTGTGTGGTACTAGGGTTTGAACTCAGGACCTATACCTTGAGCTACTCTACCAGTCCTTTTTTGTGATGGGTTATTTGAGAGGGTTTCACAAGCTATTTGCCCCAGCTGGCCTCAAACTGAGATCCTCCTGATCTCTGCCCTCTGAATAGCTAGGATTGCAGGCACAAGCCACCAGCACCAGCTTTTTTTTTTGTTGGTGGGAGGCAGACAGTCCATAAGTCTTTCCATAGTCTTTGGAAGACTTTCCATAGTCTTGGAAAGCATTCTGTAGTATTTTTTTTTCTTTTCCTTACATTTGGCATTAACATGAGAAGAACATGTCATTTCATTAGTATTTTTAGACACGTTGCAAACAAGAAAGAGAAAAGCTGATATTTGAAAAATAATAGTTGGGTGTATAAAGGCTAAAGGCTGTAATAGTGTTAACAGATACGAAGTGCTCACCATGGTTACTGTCCCAACTCTGACTAAAGCAATGTGAACTCCATAAGGCCATGGACGTTTTTCTGTTTAATTCACTTGTAAGTCCTGTGAACCAAGACTACTGCCTGAGCACAAGGTAGGCAAAAAGTAAATACTTTTTGAATAAACGTATTAATCTATAAACTGGTAAATATACAACTAAACAGGTATCGAAATGTGAAAACGAAATTTTAGATAGAATAGATAGTAGGTCTAAGTCAGCAGAGATATTACTCTTAGGTAATACCACCTCAAAATTTAATTCAGTGATTTTTCAAAAGAGGTAAAGCATGTTCTGTCCTACTGCACTAATTTAATATGGCATGATATTAATTTTAATTGGAAATTTCAAATAAATTTATATGGGGACATACATTTTGTAGTTTATTTAATTATGAATATTGTTTTGAAAGATCAAAAAGGTAAGATTTAAGTGATACTATAATAAAGCTGAATCTGTAGATTTGGTAGTTAATCCTAAAGCCATTTACAGTGAGGACCAGGTATGATGCAGTGCTATGAAACATATATAAACATGTAAACGTAAACTATAGCTAATCTAAATGAGATGTCTTCTGTGGTTTGGTATTCAAATTAAACAAATTCCTCTGTTATCTGTGTAAAGTACTGAGGTAAAAAGAAATTCTTCAGAGTGACAAAAAAGATATTAAATTACCAATAAAGGCAAACTCTTTTAGCTACACTGGCTAAACCATGTCAATAGAATACAGTCTATGCAGGTTTTCTTTTTGTTTTACTGATCCTTGTTAGAAGCACTAGGATCTAAGAAAGTAGAGCAAATGATGCTTCAAGGCACCAGCACATTCCCATCAAACCATGAAGGAGATACAGTCATAGAAATTGAGTTGAAATGAAAATTTACTTTTAAACATTTGAACCTGTGGTGACTGTCAAGATTGTTGACATCATGAATACAGTTCAAAACATTCAAGGATAAAACTGTTTTGCTTTTAGTTATTTCTTAACATTTATCAAGTTGTTTGTAGTTTTAAACTGGAAATATTTAAATATCTATATGTTACTAGCAGATAATATTCTATCCGAGAATGTAAATATCAAAATGAAATCAATTAACACTCAATAATATTAGTAAGACAGAAAGTGACCAGGCAGTCATTATGAAAAAGGAATAATGCCAGAACAGTTATTTGTAGGATTTTTCCTCCTTGAACTTTACTCAGAGTAAAAGGAAGGGCTCCTGGTAGAATTCTGTAAAAATGCACTACTATATATACACAAAATAGCTAAGATACTTTAACATCTAATTTCAAATAGAATAAAAACCCTCTTTAATCATTGCAATTACTGAACACCTGCTATGCACAAAGTTTGCTATCTTCTGGAGATACAGTGATAAAAGTCACTCTCTCTGTTGACTGTGCTTAAGGATACACACAGATTAAGCATGTAGTAAGTATGCTTTTGAGTGAATATTAT